CACAAGAGATCTTTGAGTCCAGCCCCACAGCCCTAAAGTCTGTGAAATCTGTGAAAACTGGGATACATTTAAAATGTTATAATTAACAGATTCTAAGTTTAAATACTAAAAATACTGAACACTTTACTATTACCTTGGAGGTAGGTTTACTTACTACCCATAGCATTGCCTGTATATTCATGGCAGCGTAAGAATTGCCTTTCCACTCAAGTCCATTTAATCTTGTATCATGTCTCTGAACAAACTAAAAAGCAGATGTTTCAACACTAAATGCAAAAAAAACGAAGAATGGGTACTTGTAGAATGACTTGATCTTTACAGATGCTTTTTTCTTATTCCAAAGCTGCAAATAGGTAGATTATCTTATAAACTATTTAGTTGTATGTCCTTTTTACATTTTTATCCAACTTTATGTGCCTATGAGTAATGTTATTACTTTGGTGGATCAAACATTTCAGTGTCGACTTTCCAATATTCTTATTTCAACAAAATGAGGTTATAGTGGGCTAGGAGAGAAATGGCATAAATTTCTATGATTCCAGCCATATTAATTTAGGTACTGAAAGTAATTAATCAACTACATTAATGATGTCTCCTGCACAGAACAAAATGGCATCTCTTCAACTCTGTACAGTGCAGCAAGCAAGATGTAAATAATGCACATTTTTTTACAGTGAAGGGAATTAATAACTGAAACTTTTTACTTTGGAAACTAGTGGCTCTATATTACTTAAAGTCTTTGAATTAAGGCTGGGTTTCAAAGGTCCTGCTCATTTGAAGTCCTATAGGAATATGCAAATTCACCAAATTCTTCAACTGTTTTGACCATGTGAACTGGTTTTATACAAGAAGAATTGGGACAATATCTAATAACTATGTTTTCCATGCATGTTGCTTAATGATTTACATATACTATAAAGCCTCCACCTCTTTTTTTTTCTGCTACAGCCACTCTGAAGAAGAAACACTGTCTGTTCTTTCCTGTCAATGTCAAATTGAAATTCTATTAAATGGCCACCACTAATTAATTGAAAGTAAGTATGTATGTCATTTATGGGTAGTTTATTTTAAAATCTGTCAACCATTCATGATTTTAAAAACCCACCAAATAGGTTCATATGGTCAAGCAATCAGTACAAATAAAATCATATTGACTTCTGAATAATTTATACTCTTTTTGTGAGTATAACTGGACCTTCCACCTCTACTGGCTACAAAGCACTGAGGGATAGACAGGTATGCTGGAGGGACTCTATTTAATAATGTTTAAGGCAGAAGAGACTAGCTTCTGAAAAGGTGACAATATTTCTAAGGGATATCAGCTAAATGCAATGACAACCTGCTTCAATTAATCATTGTTATACCTTTTTTCTTGATGCTTTTTTATGTTATTATCTTCTCAGTCATTTTAGTATGTGCATGTGCATAAAGGTCCATTCATGTTCAAAGTAAACTAACATGTATCTATGTTCTACTCTCAGGTAACATAGAAGGGAAAGGGAAGTGCTGGGAAAAGGCTGTGGGGAAGGCTGTCCAGTTGCCCTGACTTGGCTACCAAACCTGAGGGAGAAGGACTCAGCCAGCCCATAGGCATTACAGAGATGGTAGGCCTCCTAAGCTGGTATCCAGGTGGGCATTACCTTGGGGTTCTGCTGAATGGCAATGTTCAAGGCTGCCATTTGGTGGAGATGGATGTGCACATGGAGGGTCTCCCAGTTGTTACCCTGTTATGGTATTTTGTATTAATGTTGTGTTTGTTGGAGGTGGGGGAGGGATTAATGCATTTTAGGGGACAGCCACAAATCCTATGTAGGACAGAAGGTGTGCATCCTTGAAAGGGACATGGGGGAGGGGAAGTAAGAAAAGGTCTTGGATACTTTGTTGTGAATAATGGTTAAGAAGCACATTTGGGATGAGCCGTATGGTGTTCTTTTCTGGGTAAGATGCAAGGAAGTAGGGGTGAGCAGGTTAGCGTATAGCTTAAAGTTGTAGGATATTGATAGGGAAGTCTATTGTTGTTTCTTTTCTTGTAGGTTGCTAGCTTGTTATTATAAGACACTCTGAGCCTTTCTGCATAGGATGGAATATTGAACTAAATTATAACAATAATAGGTTATTCCTACATTGTATTATTACTGTTGATGTTTGCCTTCCTTTCCCCAGTCAAACAGACCCTAAGTTATTGAGGGAGAACTTAGTGAGAAAATTTCTACTAAGCATGAACACAAAAATAGTTAGGAAATCTCTGTTAAACTAAAACACACAGATTAGCTGATGATAGATTGTTAAAGGGGTTGATATTCATAGTTTCATAGTTTCTAGGGTCGGAAGGGA